TTTAATTCAGCTCAGGTCCAGTAGAATATGCGGGTATAATAATTCAGTTTAAATCTAGTAGAATCTATTTTCAGTATAAGTTCAGGTTCTGTTTAGTGGAATCTAGGTTCAATCTAGTCCAGTAACCTGTATTAGAGTTTCAGTGAACTACAGTAGAGTTTGACTATTAAGTATTTCAGTCTTGTTGTGTTCAATTGGTTGACATTTTTTCCTCTAATGCTCAATGCAGCAGCAACCTGAAAGTAGACACTGCCCAGCTGCATGTTCTTTTCATTTTCTAGAAGAAGGGGCTGCAGCTCATTTGGGTTTTCGTTCTATGCAGGTAAAGCAGGTTAGCATCACACAAATCGTGTGGTATGCGTACGTCCTTTTCATGATCTAGAGAAGCAATTTCAGCTTATTTAATTTATGTTTATTCCTTCAAGTATTAGTTGATCAATTAGTGTAATCGTGCGCTTCACGTGTAGCATGGCTTATTTATTTCTTCCTTGCTCTGATGCTTACTGGTTATGAATCCAGTTGCAGCAATTCATCATTGGCTCAACTTTGTAGTAATCATTGCCTTGTTACTTGCGTGCTTAATTATTTGAGCTTAATAATTTTTTATGTTTATGTCATCTTAATTATATATTCAGTATAAGTTTTAATTTTTTTTCTTGGTGTCTAGTATTTGAAGAACAAGCCAAAGTGCATGGTGCCGCATCCTGGCATGCACATGATCGGATCACCTGAAGACTAATTAACTGTGAGATGGACGGATCTTTCCTTGAGAATGAGATCAAACCTGGGAGCTAGCTTGTTGGTGTTTTTGTGATCAGGGGTTGTTTAGGAGGCAAATCCAGAGAGGCAAATGGAGTCTGCATATGCAGATGCTTGTCACCCCAAAGGCGGCTAGTTGCAGAAGGATACCAATCACGGATGCCATTCTAGAGGAGCTAGAATGGCCAAAATACTGCTTGCAGATTGTTGGTTGTACATTTGATTTACTAGGAGTTTGTACTTGATCCCAAAATAATTGGTTTGTCTTGTACATGAGAAGCCCAAAATTTGGTGAATCTTTAATCTGGTTCGTTTTTTTTTTCAAGTTTGTAAGCATGATTCATTAGATGATATGCAATTTTCAAGTCCAAAGATTGGGATTAGCAGACAATGATGAAATAGGGTAATCCAAAGATTCTTTAGTTGGCTTCCTTTTTTTTCAGAAATTGTCTTTCGCCGATCAAAAAAATCATTTGTATTTTTGGGTTTTTTTGTTTGTATTGATTGGTTCCATGTGCACGTGTCCTGTTTTGTGTGGTTGAAAAAAAATGACTGAAACACAAACATTAATCAGTCGAATTTTGAGTAGTCACTTTTTGGTTTCATGTGCAACGTGTCCTGTTCTGACTGGTTGGAAAAAAATCGGCTGTAACACAAACAGAAATCAGTCGATTGATACGTAGTCACTTCCACAAAGAATTGCGGACCGCTATATAGCAATCCGCTACCTTAAATAGCGGCCATTAAATTCCTGTCAGCTAAATCTAATTCGTTATTACGTCGTAACGGTAACGCACGCTATAGTGGCAACTACTAGCACTATTTAGTACCATGGAGGGCCACAGGAATTGGTTTGTTGGTCAGCTTGAGGTGCTCTATGGATTGGATGGAGATTTAAAGAATTTTATCCGCTATTATACAGTTTTTTTTGGATTATGAGATTTTCAAAATTTCTGTCTTCAACTTTTGGACTCGGTTCTAGAATCGAACTAGTTTTTATATGGGATAGATTTTTTTATGGGATTCTTAAAATCTGCAGAATTCTAAACGAGGCCTTAAGTTGACGAGGGCTAGTTAGGCCCATTTACGATCTGCCTAGCTACGGCCTTTAACCGCTAGAAGGTCTGCGAGGGCTTGGGCTGTGTAAATGTTATAATGGACCGAGCAGTAGTGCTAAATTCAAGTTGCTTAAAAAAAAAGTGCTAAATTCAAATCCTCTGGCTTGGGGCAAGCCACGTCATCACGCACTAATTAAAAATCAGCAGCATAAGAGCGACGTATAATCATCCTGATTGCTAGTCATAGGTTTGTTTATTTTTTAATCCCTCGTGCATAATTTTCTACTCTACTCTACGGCATGTCAATTACGGCTACAACTCGAATTATTTTTCTGACACTATCACAAATTTAATGCTAGCGTAGCCTAGGCAATGAAGCACGGAACCTATAGCTGACCCGGCGAGCTGATCGACTCTACCCACTACCCGCTTGTTCTTTTCTTCTCTTTGGGCTCACCTACCGGATCCTCCATGGCCACCCTCACCTTGCCGCCGACCCACGACGCTGCCGGCCGGGCCGCCACCCAGCAAAGCTTAGCAGAGTAAGGGCCCGCCACCTCTATTGCCTTTCTTCTTCTGTTTTTCATTTTTTTTTGTGGTTTCTTCGCTAGACCCAATCTACAAAGAAATTGACGTCGAATCATGATTTCTTGGATTTTTTTTTCTCCTTCTGATGCAACGGGATCAGAAAGCCTGCCAATGATGCCGCAGATCCAGGCGGGATGGAGTCCGAGTAGGTGTCCCCGGATTAGGAATCTGTGGTTCGTTTTCTGCTGTTTGGGACAACGACTCCTGGATTTTGTCTGATGCGGTTTATTCCGATGAGCAGGTGGGTTCTTCTCGGGAAATCGGACATCGTCCCGGCGGATGTGGCCGCCGCCGCCGCGGAGCACCACCGCCTCAACTTCTCGCCGCTGCCGATGATACCTATCTGGTAGGAAGTGGTGGATGGGGACAGCAATTCCGCAATTGGCCGTGTATCTTTTTTCATTCAGGTTCGAAACCAAAGCGTAACAATCTTCATGTTCCTCGCTCAGGGTGCAGATGGTTCTTGGGGGCGTGGTTTACACGGCTGTGCCGTTCTACAAGAGGGCGAGGAAGGTCGAAGGTATGTTCACATCGCTACGACTGTTTATTGCAAGGAGCAGATGACTGGGGCCTTCGGAGCTTAGTTCACAGGATCCTTATCTGATTAGTTATAGTCGATCCATAGATGAAAAAATGAGCTATACAAATTTCTGATACTGTTCACTGCTTATTGCAACGATTGAATTACTATGTCAGGTGAAACGTTAGCCAATGTAGAAACTGCAGTGGAGGTCGTGGAGAATGTTGCTGAGGTGACAGAGAAGTTGGCTGCAAATGCGGCCAATTCCCTGCCAGAGAACGGGTCCTTGCACAAGGTTGCTGTGGAGATCGAGTACATTGCTGAAGTGGTGGACAAGGATGCACATAAGGTTGAAGCAGTCATTGATAAGGTCTGCTATATGCCATATCCACGCTCTTACTTGAAACTGAATATTTCAACATGTTAAAGATATGCCAGTCGCAAATTAGACATTGAGAACCTCATGTGTGCGTTAATTTAGTAGTTGGGGGTTGTCATTTGTCATCAGTAAAAGTTACTATCATTGAAGAACATATGCAAAAATACAAACTGACCGTTTTTAGCTTTTAAGATAGGAAAAATGCTGACCACTTTAAGTTCAGACTAGGAATTGCTAGCTGTTTCTTCTAAGAAACCAAGGGGAGACTCAATCTTTTCTGGCAGTCCCACATACTAAGATTTCAATAACTTGGGGCTGGGGATAAAGCATGTGGATATTTCTTGGTAAAAAAGGAATGTTTCTAGTTTCTTGTAGAACATGTTTTCTCTTCCCGACCAAGTGAGAAATTGTCCTGTGCCTGCTTTATTCCACAAACATTCTAGCTGAACATTTAGTATGCTTCGGCAGCTTCAACTACAAACCAAGTTTATAGAGGCATTTGCATTGCAGCTAGCGAAGTAGAGAAACAGTTTACTTCAATCATGCTAAAGACAGTATCATGTCTACAAATCCTAGTTCCATGGGTTATGAAAGAAAGTAAATCTCTTCTAATGCCCCTCCTCACTGATGCAGATTGAAGAGGTGAGTGAGAAGATCGACGCTGCAGTAGAACCCGTCATTGAAGAGCTTGAGAAGGACTTCAAACCGAACCCCAAATCCTCTACTGGGTCAGATGCCCAGAAATGACAGTTCATGTAAACTCGGAGGAAAATCTGAAGTGTCCCTGGCTGATATTGTACATTTTTCTCTCTTCATTTTATAGTGAATGCCCGTGTGCGTGTAAATATAAATATATAAGATGCCTTATGAACTACAACCACGCCATGGAATAATAAGACATGGTGATGGTGTATGCTCGAATCTGGAGCGCCTGATGGTCAAAAATATTGGCAACAATTACAATTTGAATGTGGAATCTGGCATCTCCTTTTCATGGCAATGATGTCCCATTAACACATAATAATCATCAGCTATGAAAAGAAGGAAAAAAAGAGAATCAAATGCGCCACATATTAGTTCTCCGTGAGGTGATGCATGCAGATGGGATGGGATCTACAAATTGCCCAGAAACTTCTATGGTTCATTGTGGGTCTCAGACGTGCCCTTTGAACGCTTGGTCAGCGCAATGTCTTGATCCATGCATTCCTCGGCACTTTGGCATCGGTTCCCTGACCACGAAGCTGATCAAAAGCCTAATTGCCTTTGTTGCTCGCTCCATGCGCTTTGGCATCAGTTCCCTTAACCCATTGGCCACTTCATTGTTTAGCTCAAGATAACTCGAGCGGCGTGTACCATTTCTGCTTTGGATGTCCTCGCGGTCTCCGTTCATGAATTGTCTATGGAAAGCAGCTGCTAATGTGGCTGCAGTGATCGTACGAAAGGATTCGCTTTGCCAGCAAGCCGCACGCTCGCACAAAATTGAAGGAAGAAGAAGAAGAAGAAACAAGCAATAGGTAGTAGTAGTACGAACCAATTGGCAATTCCCTATTCAAAACTAAAGTTTGGAAGCTACTACGTGGTGTATAAGTAGACATGCCCCGACTCCAGTCAGGCATGCAATGCAACACAGCAAGAGAGTACTCCTTCGTGTTGCTGTCTCGTTGGGGTTCGAGTTCAACACGTCATATATAAGACCATGATGATCATGGCCAACAAATTATATCTGGTGGCCGTGCTCGTAGCGAGCTACGCGGCGCTGTCGTCGGCCAGGACATTCACCGTCGGTGACGACCAGGGCTGGATGAGCGGCATCGACTACACCGACTGGACCAGCGGCAAGACGTTCGCGGTCGGAGACAAACTACGTGAGTAGGCTCTCCTCCACACAGCGGCTCACGTAACCTTTTTCTTGCCAGTAGGCGTCATGCATACTTGCATAGCGCAGGGAAGTACTATCAATATGTTACCAAACTCCATGGGAACACCGTGCAGTTTTCAGCTACGGCAGCCAGTATCACACGGTGACGGAGGTGAGCAAGAGCGGCTACTACACCTGCTCCGGGAGCAACGCGCTGAGCGACGACAGCAGCGGCTGGACCGTCGTCACGCTCACGGCGCCCGGCACGCGCTACTTCATCTGCAACATCCCCGGCCTCTGCAGCAGCGGCATGAAGCTGTCCGTCACCGTTGCCGAGAGCGGCCCCGTGCCATCGGGCGCTACCAGGGGCACCCTGGTTCCGGCCATGGGCTCTGTGGTCGTCGCCGTGGCCACGGGGGCTCTGGTCAAGCTCGCACTGTTCTGATGTACCAAAACCACCGCCGTGACTTCATCGCCTCAGGCCACAGGCCTCAGCGCAGAGCGGCAGAGAGGATAGAGTGTTATATGCAGAGTGCAGACGTTTTAGTGGATCGTGTGTTAATCACCAATTGACCAAATTTGCACTAACTTTTGCGGTAATGCTTGGAGGCAAACGTCCGTCCGCACGGACGCCCCTTTGGTGGACTCTGACATCCGGAAGGCTATCTTATCCGTTTTTATCCGCTCCCCTTCTGTTACCGCAGTTTATATTAAAAAAACTCGTGCATCACCGCGACCGCGCTCCGCCACGCCTCCCGCGTGCCTTCCTCTCCACCACGCCTCCTGTCGGCCTTCCTCTCCACCGCCGCCGCGCCGGTGCCGCCGCGCCGTGTCCCCCACGACCGCACATCCGTTGTCGCCTCGCTGTGCAGGGCCGCGCACACCCGACTGCGGTTGTCGCCTCCACCGCGGGCACTGCTCGCTAGGGGCACCGCACGCGCCCCATCGTCGGCGGCAGCGTAGCCGCTCAACGAGGGTCGTGCAGCCACCTGCCCACTGCCATCCTCCTCCATCACGACCGCACAGCCGGACCCCGCTTTGCAGTGCTCCGCTCGCCCATCTGCAAGATTTTGCTGAAGGCGAATGTTGCAAACGTATGCTTCAAGTGTTTCAGATATTTCAGAGGTATGTTGCAAGTGTTTCAGATGGATGTTGTAAAAGTAGATCGGGATGTTGCATATGTTGCAATGGTTGTAGACGTATGTTGCAAAGGTCTGTTACCAATGTTTCATCTGTGTTTTCAGACGTACATTGCAAGTGTGTTTATCTAGATGTTGCATATGTTGTGTTATTTGGATGTTGCATATGTTTGCAATGGTTTTCAAGTGTTTTTAGAAGTTTTTTTTCAAGTGTTTCAGAAGCATGTTTCAAGTGTTTCATCTGTCTTCTTTTGTATGTTGCAAGTGTTGTTTCTAAATGTTTCAAAAGTAGATCGAGCGAGTGCAGCGGATCTCCATCTAGTCGGTGTGGATTAGATGTCCGGCGGTGTTTCTCGACTCCACGGTGGTTAGTGGCGGCGGGCATACCATGCCATGTAGCAGTGGTTAGTAGCGGCTTGAGATAGCTCTCGGAAGAGTGCCTCTGGGCAGCACGGGCCCTGCGTGGGCGCGTGAAATGGCACGGGAAGCGGACTACAGGGCGGGCGTCCGAATGCCCCGTCCGTTCGGACATCTGGGCGCTAGCAGCGCCGTAACTTTTGCCACCATCGTTCTTGTTGAAGCATATGTGAAATATAAGAGGATTGGGTTGGGCAAGGAGCTATAATGGGCTATTTAGAAGTTACAACAATATTATTACTAATTATAATTAGTACAGTTATCTATTTAGAGCATCTCCAATAGTTCATAAAAAACCAATTGATAAATCTATGAGTTTTCCAAGTGGCTAAAAAAAGGTGGGAGCATATTTATTGGATTTCTCCAATAATTTTTCCAAAATCTCACTCCTAAAATATAAAAGGCAATTTTGCATCAGGAATCCCATACTATTTCAAAATCACCCCAACTTCTACTTTCTTTCTCTATTGTACATTTGCATTGGAAACACTATTCTACTCTTTATTCTTCGCCACATCCTCCACCTGCAGATTGGCCCATGGATACGCGCGCTTATATTTGCGCGCAATATAATTGGATCGGTTTTCCCAAGTGTGGATAGATTGAGAGTTGAGATTGAGAGTTATTGAAGAGTAGTTTTTTGCAATCTTGCTAAAAAATCAAGATTGGAAGTGGGTTTTGTAAACTATAGGAGATGCTCTTAGGTATTTGTTGATAGCTAAAAAAATTCTTCGGGGAGTTGTAGATGGATTGGAAAATCAAATGCATTTGAAAAGGTTAAATTTGGCTAAATTTGCATGGAAACATAAAAAAATGGTCCAGACTAGTTGTGGGCTGTCCCAGCAGAGCAGCGGTAAGAACCGGCCTAGGTCGGGTTTTCTAAGGAGGCCCGCAGGCCACTGTTGAAACCGGTATAGACTGGTTTTGGAACTGGCCTGAGCCGGTTTTGGTTGTCCGAGATGGTTTTTGATATTTTCTTTTGGAAACTATCATGATCATGTAGAAAAATTGTAAATTGTGTGTGAAAAAGGTTTTCAACTGAGATAATATCACCCCTCTATTTATATGAGAGGATCACTGCCAGTTCAGAGATCCATCTATCAAAAAAAAACTAATCTATTACAGTTCTTACCTTTTCTTCTACCTCAAGCTATTCCAACTCTATAATGTCTAGCACTTCTCTCGACGAGATTTTCTGGTGCTGTAGGTGACCTTGTCGATCCTAGGGCATTCCCACTGTGCTCATCCCAAATGGGTCTTCTCGGGAGGCGTTCATGGATTTTTCGGACGAAGAATGAGCGTCAAATCGGCCTCGTCGATATGCTAGTTGGCCTCGCCATTTGGACCTCACTCTGCTGCGTATCTTGTCGTGTGCGGCCTAGGTGATCAAGCCCTTGTTGGTATCTGATCAGAATTCATGTCAGTATATTTTTTGGCGACTTCACTAGGGAAGAAAGCAAACAGACCTATTACGACGGCCAAGCAAACAGATCTGAATAACCCCAAGCACATCACCAAGCCTTCTGCCAATCAACTTCCTGAGATGATTCACAAGATGCTGGAGGAGGGGGAGAAGGCTCGAGCTGCTACTGATCTAGAGTATGCCCTAGCATGCTTTATGCTGAATTGAAGAGGAGCCATTAGGAAAATCAAAGACATCAGGTTGGATCTTCTTTCTGCTACATCTTCATCAGAGGCAAAACTAGTGAAACTCCTCCTAAGTTCGGTATTACACAAGATGAATGCGCTAATATGATTTACGATCAAGTCAATTTTTTTGAGATCAGTATGCATGACAATCTTAGCAAGTTTATGGGTAGTTTTGGTAAAAAGGAGAAAAAGAAGCCCAAAATTCTTGCTTTTCCTCATAATGTGTCCACTAGTGGAGCAGCTCCGGTTGCTAGCCAACCTTATTATGGGATGTTATTTAACTTTTTTGAAGGACATGCGAGCTATGTATAGTCTAGCCAATCCAAATTAGTCAATTCAGCAACTAAAACGTTAAGGCCAATTTATAAGGGCCACTACTACTTTGCCTACGGTTACCTTCACACGTCAACGGTTCCCACCACGAAAACTAATGGCAGGCAATACAACTGCACAGCATGCCTCTTTTGCTTTACTATAGTGTTGGCGTGTTGCCACAACCTCCTAAGACTCCAATAACGAGTCAACAGGCTAATATGTATGCAAGTACTTCACAAATCGATAATCCGATCCCATGGGACGAAGCTTTAAGCTGATTTAAGGAAGATTTGCATAAATCTTTGGAAGAAAGCCTAGGTGTACATCTAAAATCAGCTGAGGGTACTTATTCTAAACCATATCCTTTGTATTTTGATTATACGAAAGCACCCGATGGTTGTAAAGTACCCGACTTTATAAGTTTAGTGGTGAAGATAATAAAACTAAAATGGATCACATTAGCTTATTTCTTGCAGAATTGGGTGAAGCTATTACCATAGAACATATGAGAATTCACAATTTTTCATTATCTTTTATTGGTATTGCTTTTTCATTGTTTTCTTCTTTATAACCTTGCTCTATTGATTCTTGGACAAATCTGGAAGAAAGGTTTCATGAACATTTTTACAATAGAACCAATGAGAATTTAACATCGGTTAAGAAAGGACGTGACGAGTCTATCCTTGATTATGCTAATTGGTAAAAGATTTATAGATATTAAAAACTGATTCTTTAATTTGACAATTTCTAAAAAATATCTTGCTGATTTGACTTTTGTTGGCTTGCACTTTCGTATTGAATAAAATCTTGAGCACTTTGAGTTTCTCACTATTAATCAATTACTGCAAAAAGCTTGGGCCGTCGAAAGCCAAAGTAATTTTGGAGAATCTCATAAGTTATATCGTCCTAACATTCATGCCATTGAGTACTATTCAGATAGCTCTGATGATGAAACTAAAGATTGTTTTGTTGCTAAATTTGTATAACCTACATAAGCCAAATCAGTTTCTTGCTCCTTCCTCAAGCCTATTCACTGGAATCGGTGAGAGCAGATGAAATTTAAATTTGATGTATCCAAGTGTGATTGTATTTATTATGAGATGTTAAAAAATAGATACATTAAATTATCGCATCCTTTGTTGTCAATTGATGAGTTGAAGCGTCATGCATATTGTAAATGAAATAATTCTGCTTCTCTTGCTGCTAACAACTATAATGTCTGTCGTCAGCAAGTTTAATCAGCCATTAATAAAGGCCGATTGAGTCTATGAGGGATGCAGATTGACACAATGCACTCCCCAATCACTACTCTAGAATTAAAGAATCCTGGTATCTTGGTTCTTCCTGATTAGGCCGAATCTATTGCTAAAAAAATGATATCGGTGATCCTAGTGAAGATGGCAAAAATTCGAAGACCTTAGCCCACAAAGTTGTGCTCGAGAGGTCCATTGTTGGTTGGAGAGCACCAAAAATTATCATCAAGTCTTCTGGGCTCAGTGGACAACTGAAAAGTCCCGTTGGAAAGCAAAAGAAGATGTTATTGTTGTCGTCAAGGTGAAGGACAACAAAAGTAGTAAGGCCAACCTGTCAAATTATCCTAGTTAAGGTGGATCAAAGACCCGTTGAAAATTGGAGATCCAATAAGATTAAGGTTTCCGGCAAGGAGGTGAAGTCGCAATCGACTTTTGACTGACTTATGAACAAGTACACTAAGCAAAGGACCAATTCGATGAATGGGCCTGTAAACAAAGAAGTCTGGCCACCTCTGAAGTTATGTGCCTAAGGAGGTGTCTGTTGCTCCTATGAAGGCTATCAAGCAAACATCTCTTACTATCGGCTCCATGGAGGTGCCGGTCAATGAAATTGATGAGCCGATTGTTATTGAAAATATGATGCAATCCTCTATGGAAAAAGTGGAGATAGG